GCCCAATGGGCATAATTTGTGAAAAGAAAGCCAAACCACTCACGCCTCCCAAACACTCTGCACGGGGGGCGTGGTCCGGGCTCTGATTGCCCCCGGAACGTGTTTACAAGCGTTAAGCGGAGCGCCATTAAATGTTATGGTCGTGTGGCAAAAACCCAGCCACATTCCGACCAGGTGATAAAGTGTCGATGGTGGCTTGTATCAGTGCGAGGGTGGATCCAGGTGAGCTGTCCGGATGTCCCATTGCATTGAGGGACTAGGATTCGAAATAGAAAACTTTTTTCCCCCTGAAACTTCTGGATTTTTAATGGAAGTCAAGGGTTTGAAGCGTCGGGGTAAATAGAAAAATTGCAAAACTTACTGAAGGGCAGCCAAAATTGATTCTGGATTTGGTCAGCGACTTACCTGAAAGAAATAGGAAAAAAATTTAAAGTTTATCTATAAGATTTTTAATTGCATTTATAAGCTTAGTTTCTATGTTATCCATATGTTTTCTATTCTTTATAAAATCTTATTATTTACCATAACAATATTCCACAAAAATGTGGAAACATTTTTTTAATTTTCACCTTTTTAGAATACCTGTATTTTAATTTCTAATTAACTCTGAAAATATCCAAGGGGTGTGGTCCAACCTCATTGAAAAAGATAATAGTTGGAAACTGCATCTGACATTCCACACCAAACCCCTCGCCAAACGCCTGATTTCATTCAGAGCTTCCGTATTTAAATAAACTGCACCCCGGGGCTGCTTAGCATTCACGGGGAAGAGCCGGAGTCCTGCAGGACTAAAACAAGAGCAGGATGCGAGGCAACCACAAGCTTACTGTAGCATAACTAAAAAGCAAATAGGGAATCTGTATGGGGGGTCTGATGGGTGCGGGCCTGGGGCTGGAGCTGGGGATGGTAATCGGGATCGAGGGGTGCTCACCGCAGGAGTTGAACCTGCTGCTTGTGGCAAACACAAATAAATGGAACGACCGCAGAATGACCATCGAGGCAGCAATTAAAAATCCCTCCCTGGGGCAAACAAAGGAGCCGCTAATGCCTTGCCCCATTGAGCCATTAATTTCCCAACAAAGCCAAGATGGTCGTGGAGTACACCCACCTGCTCACTTCCATTGGAGGAGGGGTTGGCGGTGGTCATTGGCTTTGAGGCTTTGCAACCTTTGCAATTTGTCCCCATCGATTAGTGTCCAGAGCTCGTCGTCTACGGCTGACAGAATGACAGCCATGTCCACGTCTATTATTTTCAACTTAACATGGCGCGCGCCTCTGACAATTGCTCGGAACACTTACCCCGCCCGGGTGACGCCTCCAAAAGGACCTCAGTTCCCGTGTACACCTTCGCAATGCCACTTGCTCGCCGCAAAACTGCACAATGGCCGACCTACAACTCACTTCCTTCCGCCGCATGTCGGCCACGCCCTTGTGTCGCCCATTCCCCACCTGAATTCCCAGCCCCTTTCCTTGTAATATCTTTAATGCTCCTTTCTTTTTTGCCCCTTTTGCCGCCAGGACCTCTAGTCCGTCGTTGAAACGTGTGTCCAGCGGAAATGACAACGACAGTGGCAATTACATTGTTGCATGACACAAATAGTGTTGCCGACAACAACGAGAACAACAATTGCCAAGATATGGGTTAAAGGATAGCAGGAAAATACAAATTATTTCTTGTTGAGACAGCAACAATTGTATACTCTGTTTTGACATTGAAAAGGGGAATTTAGAGGAGGTTTAGGACTTTTTTTCTAAGAACTTGGGAGCCATTTATACGAGCCAAAATATTAAAAATGATTGATATTAAACACCTTTTACTTAGGCTATCAAACAGTGAATTTTAATCAATTTTAAAGAGCCTCTTTAATTGAAAAATATATTATTTTAAAACATAATTATACCTTTTAAATTATTCCTATAAGTAAAGCGAAACAATTGCTGCAACGCTGAATGGCAACTTAAATACCTCTGCAGTGACAACTGCTTAAATTATATTTTGCAATTAAATGAAATAAAAGCGAGAATATAAATTTCTGTTTGGCTTGGAAAAATCGAATAAAAATATAAAACTGCTGCAGTGTCCGACCGTAAGGTTCGAGCTCTGCGTGTTTTGCTCTGCGGCGGTAAAAGGTAAAAATTTAATTGATGTCCAGTCGTAAAAAATGTGTCGTTCTCACTTGCGCTTTAAACGCGCCTCTGACTGCCCGTTGTTTGCTTGAATTGTTATCAATTGTCCTTTCGTTAGTCCTCTGTCCTGGCCATATGCCGTGTCCTGACGTCGAAATGTCGTGTGTCCTGTCGTGCGTTTACCATTCTGAACACGGTTCAGCGCTACCCGGGCCGAGTGCCAAACTAATTGCTACAAATTAGCGCCTTTATGCTCGGGCCAACCAACTACTCGTCGCCCTGGCGAAGATCACGACTGGCTGAGCTGAGCCATTGTAAAGGACTTGGAGGGGTGTCCTGGTGCGTGTGCGACCCAATTACGCCACAATACACATTAATATGGCAACCGAATTTGCCTGAATCGCAGGCAATTGTATACGAATTTGGTGAAACAAATGAGATGTTTTCCACAGTAAAGTGAAACAAAAAGGGGGGTTTGTAGAGGAATAACTTTGAAGTCTCTTCAATAACTTTAAAATAAACGTTCTGGCCAAGAAATGAAAGCCACTTAACACTTCGTTGAATGCCTGTCGAAGCGCAAAAAATCGTTTATTTTGAATTATTTTAATTTAGGAACTCAGACTCAGATTTCATCCTGAGCTTTTTCGCAAAAATGTGCTGAAGTATATTAGACAAATTTGGTGCACTTGTTTGCGTTTGCTCCGCCTGTGATTTGCTTTAGGAATGCTTATTTTTATTTATTTTTTTGTACCATTATTATAATTTTTTTTTTTTTCTCGGAGAAAGGCAGCACGGGCAGACGACAATTTGTGTCGCCCGGTTGTCAGGACAATAACAACGACAACGGCAAGGACAACAGCCCAGCGTAATAATAAATGAGAAGTGGAAAAGTTTTGCCGCCGCCGTGCTTATTGTCAAGCTCGGCCAGGCCATAAAAAACAAACTTCAATAGCAATAAGGCAACAAGGAGCGAGCCGAGGAAAAAAAATGCGACCGAAAAAAACAATGTCGGACCAAAAGAACAACGGTGGACGAAACAAAAACAGTTAGAGGAAAAGTTCAAGGCACTGACTTTATAGCTGCAATATTGCCCGCAGGGTGTGGGTGGGCAGGGGCCGGCAGGCGCTGAGAGCGGTTGGGGGTGGGGGAAAGGTGAGCCACACGCCAGCAACAGTGAGCCACAAAACAAAGCCAGTTGCAACAAGAAGGCAAAACAAAAAAAAAAAAAGAAAGTAGAGAGGGTGAAGGCAGCCAGGAAGCAACAAGGCCACGCCGTATCCCGCCAAATGTGTTGAGGCACTTTGGCGAGGTAACGAAATGTAACAAAGTGCCGGGGAAAAGTGGCAGGCGGTCGGGTGGCCCGTGAGGGGGCATTAGGTCAGACCCGCTGTGTGGCTTACTCCGGAAATTTGTGTTTGGTAGGCGGCTGGTATTGCCTTGACTGCCCTTTTTTGGCCATGATAGCAACGGGAAGAGGATCAAACACGTTAATACTTTTAAGTACATCCGAAAGATTTATCTTTTAGTTAGCACTTCTAAGTTTAAGCTTAAATAAAGTTAGTGTTTTGATAGACGTTCTTTAAAAAAATTGCTTTAATAATTAACTAAAACTCCCAATGATTGATGGATTGTCTAGCTAAACTTTGACCTACAGCCAATTACAGCGATGCCATATGTATCAATATTGTGGTCGATCAGCAATTGAATATTTATCTTTTTCGAAGCACCATATTAATGACCAGGCCAATGACAAAAGGATAATGGACGAGGTGGACACGCAAAGTCAAAACCCAAAGGCATTCCCGGTGGACATTAGGCCGACAATCGAGGTAAACACTTGGGGCCAAATGGGGAAAGGTGAACAATACCGCGGACACCTCGGTGGACAGGCCCCCGGGAACATTAATAAAGTCAATAGACGAACAATAGTTGAAAATTAACAAATGAATTGAAATTACTTAAACAAACTCATTAGGCGGCGGCCTGTCATAGTCCAGGAGCAATGTTGACACCAATAGGACGCGTCCTTCCCCCCAGGGATCCGCAGACAGGCATTAATATTCCAGCTCAAGGAGCACAAGGTAGGGGCCCGGTGTTTTTATTCTTGCCCCCTAAGCACTAGCCACCGCCCCGGTAATCGTCCATCAAATGGTCGGGTTATTCTACCCGTTCTCGTTCCCGATATAGCCTGTAATTAAATTTTCCAACGTTAATGTGCTAAGCATTGTAATTTACCCTCTCTGGGCCAGAGGAGACTACGCCCCTGTCCGCCTGTCCGCCTGCCAGTCACGAGTTTAAATTGTCAGGAACTGTGACAGGTCGACACCTTTGGCCCAGGTGCGGGGCGACAAGCCGCATATCTATAATTTTCATTAATTTTAATTGGCTTTGGGTGTGGGCGAGCGGCGAGCGGCGTTCGGCGGCTTTCATTTATAATTTATTCGCCTCTTATTGAATTTAATACTTGTATTTTGAGTCTTTATGGCTTTGTGCAAAAATAGTGTATCGCTTGAAAGGATATTTACTTGTAGGCCGGATAAAGGAGATTCTTTACAGTTTTGACCTAAGACCTTAGACGAAAGTTTGCCATAGGGTGGCTACAATGCATGGTTTAATGTGTAACTAAGTTGATTAATTTCATATTCCAAGGAATCTGAAGACTTTTTTTTCCTAGTAGTAGGTTCCTAGTCCGAATCCTAGTAGGTTGGCACTAGTTGCCGTTACAACATAAATATTTTAAGTGTTTTCTTTTAGCCTAAAACCCAGTTCTGGAAATTTTTCGATATTTTTTGTAGTGCTTCAAAGGATGAGAAGCCCGGTGAAATTCAAAATTCCAAGTGTAGCCTGCAATTGAGAGATTTCCATCAGCTAGGATGTTGTCCAAGCTTTGCGTCGGTTTTCGGCCCCTGGAGGTGCGGTATCTGATACGCCACGCCAGCTTGCTGGCTCATCACCAAAGCCACCACCTTCGCTTTCGTCCTCGCCTCCGGTTCCGCCTGAGAGGAATCGTCTGCCGGGAGGATCACTGCTGTGCCGGTCAGAAGACGGTGCCGTCGCGGGAAGAGCACATAGCCACATTGAAGGGCGAGGAATTCGATGTTCTGGTCATTGGGGGTGGGGCCGTGGGGTGCGGTTGCGCCGTGGACGCCGCCTGTCGCGGCCTCAAGACCGCCTTGGTGGAGGCCGATGACTTTGCCAGCGGGGTCAGCTCACGCAGCACCAAACTGATTGACGGCGTTGGCTCCTACCTGGCCGCCCTCCTCCAGAAGAAGGACCTCAATCAGCTGTACATCATGGTCCAGATGATGAACGAACGAGCCACCATGTTGAAGATAGCCCCCCACCTGAACCGGGTCCAGCCGATGCTCATACCATCCTACAGCGTGGTGGGCACGCCTCTTACATGGCTGGCCCTTAAGATCTACGACTTCATATCGGCGCACTCGAACGTGCGAGCCTCCCACTTCGTGTCCAAGGAGAAGACCCTCTACGAGTTTCCGCTCCTAAAAACCGAGGGGCTGCGGGGCGGGATCGTTTACTATGACGGGCAGATGGACGACGCCCGTATGTGCATCGCTCTCACCATGACCGCCGTGTGCCTGGGTGCAAGCGTGGCCAATCACACCGAGGTGGTTGAAATGGTGCCTCAGGACGGGTGCTGCCGGGTGGTGGGCGTCAAGGACAAGATTGCCGATGAGACATTCTACATCCAGGCCAGGGCAGTGATCAATGCCACTGGCACCAGCACAGACTTCATACGGAAAATGGACGAGGAGACCACCGCCCCCATTCTCCTTCCCTCGGTTGGCACCCACGTCACCCTGCCCCGGTACTTTGGCTCAAGTACTTACGGACTCCTCAGTCCGTCAAAGGATAAAAAGGATCCCACAATTGTCATGGTGCCATTCGAGAATCATACGCTGCTGGGTGTGCGTGAAGTAGAGCTGGACTTCATGGAGAGCTCTAAGAGCCCGTCCCCAGACCCAGAAGACGTGGACTGCTTGCTGGACACCGCAAGAGAGAGGATGGCACCCTGCGTGGAGTTGGAACGCTTCCACGTGCTTAGCGCCTGGACTGGCTTGCGTCCATCAGTTAGCTGTCCCAGCGGAAAACGGGAGGAAGAGGAGGAGGGCGATCGCACGCCGATCAGCAGCTACATGATCGAGGTGAGCAAGAATGGACTAATAACACTGGCGGGCGGGCGCTGGAGCACCTACCGTGTGATGGCCGCCCACGCCGTCGATATGGCCATCGAGACATGCGACCTTTGCGACGACCACGTGACCACGAGCTATACGGATGATCTCGAGCTGGACGGTGCCCAGGGCTACTGCTGCATGCTGCCGTTGGAACTTGTCCAGGACTATGGCGTGCCCATGGACGTGGCCCAGCACATATCCGACTCCTACGGCTACAACGGCCACGCCCTGCTCTCTCAAGCTCCGGACCGGAAGGGGCGCCTCCACCCAAGCTTCCCCTACATCGAGGCCGAGGTGCAGTACGCGGTCCGTAACGAGTACGCCTGCACGCTGGTGGACATCATCGCCCGACGGCTTCGCGTGGCCTTTGTCGATGCTGCTGCCACCCTGCACATGCTTCCCAAGATTCTCAAGGTGATGGCTGAGGAGAAGGAGTGGCAGGAGGAGCAGGCCACGCAGGAGTTGCTCCGCGCCCAAGAGTTTCTGGTTCGTCAGATGGGCCTCGGGTCGATAATCCGCCCCAAGAGCATGTGTCCGAACAAACAGGAGCCCAGGACAAAATCCACTCCGGAGGGATGCTGCTGTAACATTCCCAAACGCAAGGAGTGCCGCAGCTTCTCCTCAATGGGAGGCGCCTCCGTAAGATCAGCTGCGAGCTTAGCCTCGTCCTTTATGGCGCATCCGGCCTCAACACCTTCTGTTTCAAAAGTAACCGAAAAGCCCTTGCCTATTACGTCTGGAATAACGACAAGCTCCGTGGAGTCCACGTCCCGGTACCCAGTTTTAAGAGCTTCTGTCTCCAAAGTAACCGCACCGCCATTGGCTTTTACGTCTGGAATCACGCATACCTCTGTGGAGTCAAGCTCCTCGTCTGAACATCAACCCAACACCCGGCAAAGAGGCTGGATCGATCGAAAGAAGGAAATTATTCTCAAGATTTGGCGTAACAAATTCATGTGCTGATCCGGCTCCAAATGGAAAACATTTTATTAGTCTTTCAAATTCGAGTTGAGCCCAGGTTGCATTCGATAGCACATGGGCTGAGCAACAAAGGGTTTCCTTTTGGGTCTATCTAGCCCCTCAAGAAGATGGACTTCCCTTCCTAGAGAAAACTCTACTGCAGAGCCAGCACACCGTTCAATACAAGTTTTGGCCCGACCTTTCCTCGAAATGGAACGTAATTGCAATTTTTGGATTCCGTGGATAAATTAAATACAGTCTGAGTTTTATTTCTTTTGGACTTGATTATTCTTAGTATTGTCTGAATGGGACGGATTCTTCAAATATTTGGAACATTGTACTTTTCTATTTATTAAAGTCTTTAAAGAACTACCATAAATTGGGAATCGAACATAAAATGAAAAGGATATTTATGGCATAGCAGAAATATATTTAACATTAATCACTTTTCCAAAATTCATTTTCCATAATTACAGTTTTAAAATTTAATATTTCAACTGGATACTTTTGCCTACTTTTGGGCTGCGATTGCCGAATGGCGGGCCATTCACGGAAGTCGTTAACGATTTGTTATGTTCTTCGATTTATTTATTATTTTTTTTCCATCCTTACTTTGGCAGTTTGGCGCCACGGCTGCTGCTGTCGTTTGTTTTTAATAAATTAGCTAAATTTTCGGGAGGATGTGGAAGGAGAAGGCGTTGCGACCCATTTTGAATTATTGTTATTGGGGCTGGAAAAACATTTCTAGCTTTTTGGTTCTTTTTTTTTGAATATGCTTATCGTCATACATTGCCTTATTTATTGGCTGATTGGGGAGGGTACTTCTGTCTGGTTGTGTGTGTGTCTGAGGGGTTGGGGGTGGTATATAAACATACATTCATACATGTACATATTCGTAGGCGCCATATTTTTTCCACTTGACTGCTCGTTAGCTACGCAAATGAGCTTTTTATGGCCACATTTTTAAAGTGAGTGGAAATTAAATGCATTGCGAGTCACTTTAATTTATGATTTTCACTTTTTTTTTGGGGTAACTCCAATATTTTTGCCTACTTGGACGCACTTTTTCTAACCTCCAGCTCCTGAGAAGCGTCAATTGTATCCACAACAGTCACAAATCCCATGCCCATCTCCTGCTGCAGAAACTTGATGGTACGCTGCATTTCGGCATCCTGAACCGGCTTGCTCCACTTGAGCCTTTGGGCCATGATTTCGACCACACGCGGTAGCATGTGGGTGGCGGCGGCCACGTCCAGGAAGGCGACCCTCATCCGGCGGGCCAGAACGTCGAAGGCCGTCAAGGCGAACTCGTACTCGACCGCATAGTGCACCTCGGCCTCAATGTGGGGGAACTGGGGATGCAACTTCTGGTGCGCGGTGTCGAAAGCCGTCAGCAGCCGGAAGGCATTGCATCCGTACGAGTGGACGAGGTGGTTGGCCACATCGTATGTTACTCCAAAGCACTGCACCAGATCCGTAGCCAACTGCGCCGTGTAGCCGACTGACCCGTCCAGGGGAATGTTTCTAGTACGGCACGGGCAGAGGACCGGCAGCTGGAAATGCCGCACTGCCGCTTCCACAGCGGCTTCGGCCATGGCCCTGTAGTTGGTCCAGTTGCCGCCGGATATGGTGATAAGTCCGGTTTCGCTGACCAGCGGCCGATCCGGAAGACAGATGGTGGTCCAGAGACCCTTCCAGGCACTCAGTACATGCCGGGTGTTCAGCTCCACGTCGGGGCGCAACTTTGCTCGGAACTTTTCCAGCAGCACCTCCACCTCCTCGCGGGTGGGCGCCAGGCCCGGTGGTCCTGAGGTGCAACCCACCAAGGTGTGGCCCTGCCAGGGCATGGCAAAGAGCTCGTCGTGCCCGAGGCTGTGGATGGCGTGACTCCGGGAAAAGTAGCCGGGCAGAACAATGTGAGTGCCTGCCGCCGGTTTGGCCACCGCCACCGCTTGTTCCGAGTCCAAGCGACGCACTCCATCCACATAGGGTCCGGTAGCATTAACAACGGAGTTGGAACGCACCAGAATCTGCCGACGGGAGAGCAGATCTCTGGCCAGGCACGATCGAATGCCTTCCTGGTCTGGGCCGGAGAGTTGCTGGGCTTGCACGTAGTTGACTATCCGTGCTCCTTGACGGGCTGCTGTCATGGCCAGGGCCATGCACAAGCGGGCATCGTCCATCTGTAGTTCATAGCTGACCAGGGCTCCCCGCAGCCGGTCCATCTTTAAGAGTGGACAGGCCAGGTGAGTCTCCTCCGGAGACAGGAAATGTGAGGATTGAACTCTGGAGAAGCCAGCCAGCAGGTCGTACAGCTTGAGGATCAGCCACACGCGAGACATCTCGGCGTAGCTCTGCAAGGGCATCAACATCGGCACGCTGCTGACCAGATGCGGGGCGTTCCTCAGGAAGAGGCCCCTCTCCATCAGAGTGTCCCTCATCTCCCCTATTTTACGAGTGTCTAGGGTATTGATGGCCATAGGCAGACGGCGCAGACCGCCATGCACCAGTTTGCTGGACTTGGCGCTGGTGCCGCTCCCAAAGTCCGAGGCCTCTATCAGTGCAACCTTGAGACCCCGCGAGGCGGCGTCCAAGGCACATCCGCATCCTGTGGCCCCTCCACCGATAACCAGGACATCGAAAATAGTGCTGTCGAGAGATTCGATCTGGCGTCTCCTGGTGGCCAGATGATGATGATCCTCCGCCCGCGAGTGCACCTTCTGCTGGCTGTTGCGTCTAGGATGTGGCGAACTTCTTATCGGGCAGGATAATTTTGCAAACATTTTCCTTCCATTCTCTTCTCACGCCCAATTTGGAGGACCTCGAATTCGATTTTCGGCAAGTCACCATAAAAATATACATATGCCTACTCTGTATTTTTTAGAAAAATAATACTAAAGTTTTTGTAAATTGTAAAGTGAAATTTACTTCCCGTTTTAAATTCTTTCACATGAATGGCAAGATTTTAGGCATTTTTGCACTTCATTTTTCAGTCACGCTTTAGAGTTTTCAGCCGGCCATAAGTAAGACTATTAACTGGCCAAAGGCAGAACACTTTCACTTTTCCACAAGAATTCCTTTCTTGCCCAGAAACACCATACTGCGGTCTTTGGTCCTGCATTTTTATGCTGATTAGTTAAGTTAACAATTTGCAGCACGCGAAACTATTTGGGGAATCTCAAACTTGAAACATAAATCGCAATGCCGCACCACTTTGCTCTGGCCCAGACTCAAAGCAGCCACAACTTAGAAAAGGGGGCTCTTGCAAAAAATTTAATATCCTTGGGGCAGCAGTCGAAGGAAGTGGGTAATATGGAAAAATGCAGGCAATGCACACGCGAGCTCATAATAATAGGAATTTTCACCAACGATCCCCGGGCCATGTATGCCTGCATACAGTCGTCTCTCCCTTCTTTATAATGCTGTCAAGGACATTTAGCCAGGCACCTAGCTGGAATAAAATGGCGATGCAACAGCCAAAAATCAGGAACTTAAAAAATCTATGGCGGAAGCGTGGCCATAAAATGCTGAAAATAATGCGGGCGACAAACGGAAATAACAGGAAAATAGTGTGTCATAAAAAGCGCTTTACTACTTCGGGAGTGAAAACGACAATGGGAAATAAAAAAGAAGAGATTTAATGTCCAAATATGTTTTATGGAAAATTTGGATTTATCATTGCTATATAAATTTATTAGAAACTTAAGAGAATTTTATATATCTATTGATATTATGGCCTTAAGATAAGACTTCCATTAGCAATATGATTTGTTTTCTTTTTAAAGGCCATATTACAAGAAACTTATTTGAAATGTAAATAAAAACTCAAAAATATTTATGCAGCTTCATTTGCCTTTGGAATTGATTGCATTTCGGAATGCCTGGACTTGGACAATTTCATTCAGGGAAAATGAAAATGCACTATTCTCATATTTTGCACAAGCTGAAAGTTGTATTTTTTTTATGCCATATAGTACTATGAGGACTATGCATAAAATTGTAATATATCTCTGGGTACATACGAACACAGTTATCTTCATTTCAAAGAAGTCGAAAACGGGAAGACACTGGCAGGGGAAATGGCACTCAGCTGCAAAACATTGGACCAAACGATAAGTGACAAACATGGTAAGGCAAACAAATGTATATTTTATACATATGCCCAATGGTTTGTAGAGGGGGGGGGAGGTGTACAACGGAAGAAAACGTGGCCCAAAAGATGCACAACTGTCAGATAAGTGTGGAGAGCATTTTGCACAGCGTCTTTTGCCCGCAGGTGACATGTTAAACGTCTTGTAAGCATTTGCATTTCCTCGCCCATAAAATAGACGGAATAAGAAGGAAATAAGAAAATTCTCTCAACTTGTTTGGAAGAGGGGAACCAAGAAAATTTCCTGTAAAATATATATATATATGCATATTTATTTATATGTGTGGAAATAACTGAACAAGCATGACTGAGAAAAGTGGCAGAGTCTGGGGCAGGAGCAGAGTCAAGGGGCAACATCTTTTATCTGCAGTTCATTCATTTTTGTTGGCAGCGACTTCAGAAAGGGTTGAGTTGTTGGCTTTGGCTTAAAGCATATTTGATTATGTCACAAAATATCCTGGAGGATGCCGGGCTAGGCATCTCGTTCGTTTGCTTAGCCAAAGATAAATTTAACAAATATGCAAATAGCACACGCTCCTTCCTAGCAGTTAAGTGGAAAATTGTTTTCCATAAATTTTTCATAAATTGTTGGCAATTTTGTCTCTTTCATTCTGCCACAAAACCTTTCAGATCGACTTGGCCGGCATACAAAATCTAAAATAATCATCATCTCTCCCTAAATTGCTTTTAATGGCTGAGGTAAACAAATATTTATTTTTCGATTTCTGGACTTTATTGAATGTTGGACAACATTGACATAATGGAAAGGCTTCTCAAGTGTTGAATAAAATGCAGGAAGCAGCCAGGATTTTTTCAATGGCTCTCTAAAAATTGAAATTGTTATATATTTTAGCATCTTCAAATGGCTGGCTATTGTCAATCCATCAGTCAATCAATCAATCAATCAAAAGAAGCCCATTATGAACGACTCATTAAATTATCAAAGCACTTACCCTTTGAGGGAATCTCGGCCAGAGCGGGAGTGGCTGTCATCAAAATGGTTACCACGGTACTGGCCATCAATATGGTGGCCAAACAACGGCCGAGCTTGGCCCGTGGGCGGAGGAGGTGGCCCGTGTGGAGGAGTGGTCGTGGTCGGCGCCGCATGGCGTGGGAAATCCTTTCAGCTTGAATTTCCTTCTGCAACGGGTAATAGGAAAATTTTCAACACTCAAAATTGAGTTGCCAAAATGTTCGACGTCACGCGCGGCTGTTTCAGGGGGATGGGTGGGGGCCTTCAAGCGTGGGGGCGTGGCAGGCTGTGTTCACTGGCTGGCAAACGTTTTCACCTTTAATCACTTAAACGGCTCGTAATCAGCAGTAACAACGACAACAACAAGGATGCAATCAACACCAATTGAATTGGAGCATCATGATGATGGGAATGATGATGTGCGGGCTGTTCAGCACTTAATGGCCAAACCATGCCAGGACCAGGACCAGGATCCGGACCCGCACCCCTACCCCTAAAACCGGATCCGGATACGTGGCAAAAGTCAACGGCGCCGTCAATGTTGTTCCTGCTGTTGTTTACACGCATTGCTCTTATATAGTTTGTTCCCAGTCCCCCGACTTTTCCGACATTTGTTTGCTTTGCTTTGAATTTTGGGCCGCCCATCCCACCATCCCCAAAAACCTTCCAAGTTAATTTTGTGTGCCTTAATTTGAAGTATTTTGGACTTTTGGCAAGTTGGATTAAATATCTTTAGACAGCAGGCAGACAGTAATTTGATTTGTCGACGCAAATTGTGTTTTATCTTCCTATTAATTTAACTTTAAACATTAAAAGGATTTTCCGAGTGAGGTCTTGAAACCTCAGTCTTAAAATAAAGGGCTAAAATAACTTAAAGAGGACCCTATTTGAACAAAAAGTATTTAGCCACTTTCAATTCAATTTAAACAAATTCTTTTTGTGAAAGCCCGGGGCTGTGATGGCTTTGCTTTACTTTTTGCAACGTCAAGCTGTCAACGGTGTGTTCGCCGGCAAATCAAGACTGACAAATGAAATGATTACACAAAGTAAACAGCAAGCCCGTTACACACAAACCACCTGTCAAAAACTTTTGTGCAAAAAGAAAACTTCTCCTTTTTTGTGCCCCCCATACCCTGACGACTTCTGATGAAACTGGCGAGTGAAAATCGGACAGAGCACGGCAACATTTTACAAGCGGAAAGCCAGAAAGGAATATTATCGAAGAGCTCTGACAAAAACAATATCCCGAGCACGGACCAAAAATGCAGCGACGGTGCCAGCCAACATGGCAATGGCAACACTTCCGTTTCCGTTTCCGGCGCTGCGGGCGACTTCTCACACAGTTGGCCAAATGTTGAGCAAACTCAAAGGGGATGGGCTCCAAAACATCACCAGCACCAGGCAACAGCAACAGGAAGAGGAACAGAAACAGAAACAGCAACACCGACATAACAAAGCCTGTTAGTGTTGCTCACCAAAACGGTGCAACAGCCACCTCCTTGCTCTTTGCTAGTCCTGCGAATATCGCAGGATATCGCCGGCTGGGTGGCTTCATTTTGTTTCGGTTTGGGGTCTGGTCCGGGCCCAGGACATGGAACAATGGCGACGAAACGTACACAATTTTTAAACGCTTTTAATATTAAAGCGTCCGGCGTGGAGACACAAAAGCCAAAGGAGCCAGCAGCACAGGACAGCCAACAAAGTGCAACATGCCGTGCAACAGCACAGCTCGAGCTCAGCATTGCCACAGGCATGTGGGGCATGAAAAAAGCACAAGCTGCATGAAAGTGCCATATCCAAAAAAATAACAAATAGTTTACCTCCTGCGAGTGGAATTTTGGGTAAAGAAGTCTTCATTCCATCCCTTAAGCAAGAAAGAAAAGAAAATAAATAAAAACAAAATAAAAAATACATAAAAAAAAGGAAAAAACTTAAAAATGTTATATAGATTCTGACAAGGATAAAATTAAAATAAAGAATCTATACGTCAGACTCAAAGATGTCAATAACTTTATAACAACTTAATTATATTTCAACCTAAGTATATTCTAAAAACACTTTTAAAACTTCTCAGATTTTTTAAATTTTGTAACTTTTAAAATATTGTTAAATATAACCAAATAAAACTAAACCTAGTAACCCTGATACTCTAGTGAAAAATTCCTTGAGGGCCGCCATCAACCAACACAACGCCTTGAAGCAAGACCTCTGCGCCCTCAGCCTTCATCCTCATCCTTAGCGTCATCCTTTACATTCCCTTGGCCGGAGGTGCATTTTTTGTGGAGTCCTTTAAGGACTCTGTGGCCAGTTGGCCTCTTCGTGACGAAAATGCTTCGCTTAACTGGATTTTCAAATATTTATTGCAACAAATTATTTTGCTAGTTACATGGCGGCTCTTTGTTTGTGTCTCAACATTGGCAATGCTCCACTTTTCCCCCTTAGTCCTTGTCGCCCCTTCTCTGTCACCCCTTCCCACAGTAACCATTCGTAAGCGGTTTTTATGGCCATTTAGTTTGTTGCATTCCCGTAAAAGGATTTGGTGTTGGAATTTCTGTGGCTTTTTATGGTAAGATGGCTGACAAATTAGGGTATTTTGCTGTATACAATTTATTGAAGCGAGAAACCTATAAATTAGTGCAAAGTGGCTTGACCGTTTAGTTTTTCAACAAAATGGGGAATGCAACTATTTAATTGGCAAGTCTAAAGAACCATGAAATCTGTACAAATATCTAAGAAAGGCAAGATCATAAAAATTTTTAAACATTTTGAAACTATCTTGATCAATTATTTGTGGCAAGGGTCAGGGTCTAAGCTGGGACTTTGGAACAAACTATTCAGAGCTCCTTAAAAATAGTTTTTCAAAAAAATTCAACCTTTGAATAATTACTTTAAATAAAGCACGCAAATGCGGCAAATGATGCAAATGTTGCTAAGTAAGCCGTAAACCGAAGCTGCCGCACGACAAATGCACAAAAACTTTCACTCGTTCACAACTTTGGCGAGGACTGATAGTAGCCAGCAAATGACAACGCCAGCGACAACACAACGAACAACATTTCGTGGGGGAGACACTCGCGTGGGATCGCAAATCGCTAAATCGCACGTCAAATAGTTTCGTGGCAACCCTCGCTGGGCGCAGTCCGTCCGTTCAGATGAAAGCCCGTTGCACGACTGACAGGGGCGGCCGACTCCATTGGTGGAAATTCCCTTGCCACGGCCAAAACGACGATGCCACATCGTTGCCACTTCGGCGGGGCAGTCGGTTTTTCGAGTTCGAAACTCATCGCCAGAGAGAATGAATCCTCGTCTAAGGAGAGAGTCCTTTGACTGGAAGGACACTCGCCAAGTTCATTGGGTTAAGTTAGTGTTCTTTGAAACAAAAGGAAGTTGATTGAAGTAAGGGAACTATAGGTTTTTTTTTTAATTATAGAACACCAAATAATCGGTTTTATTAATAGTTATATTGATATAAAATAAGTTATAACAATTTGTAGAAGTTCTTATGATATCTAATAACCTGTCAACAAATTCGAATCTTGTTTTTTTTAGCTTTATGACCCTTTTGGCAAAAAATAAACAAACCAGATATGTGTATAGATTAGAAAATTGTACAGATAAGACCTCAAAATTCGCAAGAATTGATTGCAAAAAAACAAGTATTTTTGTTATCTACCCCTCACATTAAGATTAAATGTATTTAAATGTTCAAGTTCAATGAGTAATTTGCAACTCAAATGGTTATTGAAACACTTTATAGCTTAGATTAAGATGAAAGCTTTGGCAGCTTAATTGGCTGCTAAATGAAAACCACACCTAATATCATAAACACCAGAGATGGAAGTACTACCGGAAAACGACCTTTGTCTAATAATGACCACAATAATCCCCGACAACTATACCTGCCGCACATGGAGTCCACAACGAAATTAACACGCATATTCAAAAGAACAACTGAATAAATTGGCTTATCTGGTGAAACACAGAAAAGTGCCATGCCACAGCCCCCTGAACTCAAACCCCCAGAACGAATGTCCAAAACAGCCAACAACTGGAAACTGGCAACAAGCGAGTGTTTACCACAATAAAAAATATTCCACATACGCAGCGTTGCCTGCTGGCATCATTTAGATAAACATAACTGGGAAACTTAAAACCTAGCCGGGATAGATCGGGAATGACGGGTCAAAACATCTGACCAGAGACCAGAGAGTCGGTAACCACACACACCCAGCACCATGTTGGGGTAGAAATTCTCCAGCTAACAATTTTAGCCATGAATAAAATAAACACAAGCCAAAATGGGACGAAACCAAAAATAAAATAAAATAATATGCCATTGTCGTAGAGCTCGGCAAGTCTTCGTGTGGTTAGACCAGAATAGAATTAAAGCTTGACCAACTATTTTATCAGAAGTTGGCAAAAGTTCTTCTTATTCAAAGTATGAACTACCCAAAAATAAGGGGGAAGTGTTTTCAGTTTATTTAACTAACTATACAAGCATACCCACAATAATAATTATAAACCTTCTAGAATCTAGAAAAATCATACATTTCCCTTGTAAGTTGTAACTTAAACTTCGTTACACATCCTTAGAAACAAATTTAACACTAATCCGGACAGAGCTCTGGAAAGTGAACAAATAGCTTTGTCTGCAGGGATATTGGCCCACAGAATCCACTCCAAAGCGCCCCTCCCCCCACTCTCGTCCTGCATCCGGTTATAGCCCCTTTGGGATCAGCATTTAGCTAAAATCCAAAAGCGTTTGCAGCTCCCTGCTGGTGTCATACTAAAAACGACACCCAAAAGTGTGGGCATTAAACGAAGTTTTCCATTTTTTTGCGCTCTGGATGCAATTGGAGTAAATTGCAAGAGAAAAACTGGGAAAAAGGATACAAAGTCCTTGCCAGTGGAGCTCTAGATGGCTTTTTTGGCCATCTCATGGCAATTGATTCCTGCGGGCGACTAGTTGGGCGTGGCATCCTCTAGCTGCTCGAAACGCATTAGTGACGTTTACCTTGGAAAGAAAAACTAATCTAATTGCATTTTCTGGTCAAATATCAGCCAATAAATTAGGTTATCAGTTGTACCATAAATAGCAAAATATCCCCCAATTTATCAATAACTGGGAGTTTATTAATTGTAGCTAGCCTGCAATACTAACAATACCCCTTTTATTCTATTAAAGCTTTTGTTATCTTTTGTTACCTGCCTTGTCCTTATAAAAACAGTCTTTATTCCTCTATCATTTCAACTGGAAAACTCTTGAACTCGTATAAAAATAAATATCCTGCGCGTAAATCAAATTAATGTGTACTTAATAAATGCCATTACATTTTTATTACACTCTCGCCCAGCAAGTTAACGAAATTGATGGGGATACCTTTGGTCCAGGTCCAGGTACATAAATTGGATAAATCGTTTAGCCGGTTGCAGACAGTTCAAGTGTGAGATATATATGAATTGGTTAAAGGTGACTAACCGATTTGCGGGTTGGCGCCTGGGCTCCGCCCATAATCCAATTTGATTATGGTTAAATGGGAATGGGGAAGCCCAAAGTAAATCAATTATATTTGTTTATTCTTAACAAGCCTATTTTTGGCAGTGGGAACTGGAATTCACTGGAAGATAAGGACCGACGAGATAAGGGCTAACGTAACCACTAATTTGATTGTGTGATTTATTGTTTCGTATCGTTAGGTGTATGTTCAAACAGATTGATAAGTAAAGCTCTCCTACTATTTGTTTGGTGAATCACTGGCGGTCGACTTTTATCGCCAGCTGATTCGCCCTTTTCGTTTAGTATAAATTAGAACCTGAGTCGAAGCGGTTTAACAGTCACATAGTGAAGCGCAGAGTAGTAACTTAACTGCTTACCAAATATACTTTTTTAAGTTTACCTAAAAAAATTAATCACCAAAATGGGTAAGTAACAAAGTGAAGCCATGTCGTGAAATAAACATTTTTGTTTATGAACAAACATTAAGTGTTAAGTGAATCAGTTTCTTGGAAATATGAATCTTAAGAGTGACTTAAAGAAAATATTCCACGAAGGAGCAACATCTACTAAAGTGATCAACCTATGATTTTCAAGGCTTACATCACTACTTTCTAAGAACAAAATTAATTCAAAAGATATCCTCAAAAAACCAATGATGTGTATCTTTAAAAATATAGTTGTTTTCTAAGCTTTTTACCTTGGAATTTTTCCATCGCAATATGAAGTTATCATTCTTTGCTTTTTTTGCAATACATTAATGTCACTTGCCATCATGATTGTAATATTTCCGTCGTTACCAAAGAGCCAATAATTTATTAGCCTGCTTATCTCATGTTTATCGGTATCTGTTAACCCGTATATTTATGGAACTTTATTTTATTTCGCCACAGTTCACTGGGTACACTCCTCCGCCCACTCTGGTGTGCCGCATGACGCTGTCCGCGGCGGTCACGATTGTGATGGATCCCCGATCTATGTCGGCCGTGCTTTCCACGACGGCGAGAACCTGCCCGCCAAGGTGATCCCCAGCAAGGGCTGTGCCTACGTGGCCCACGACGGCGGTGAGCACCAGAAGGGCCACTACGAGATTCTTGTGGGACATCACTACTCCTGGGTGCCCAGCTCCAACGGCCATGTGCCCCACCGGGCTGTGGAGAGTGGACACACGCGATCGGGTGAGCCCCTGTTCATAGGCCGAGGTCACCACGCCGGAAGTCTGGTGGTGGGCAAGGTGCACCGATCCCACGGATGCCTGTACATTCCCTTCGGTGGCCAGGAGATCAAGATCCACAACTACGAGGTGCTAGTCCACCACTAAATCAAAGCTGCCAGTTAGAATTTTCAATTTCTTTTTAATTTTTAACTTTTTTTAATAAATGATTATTTAATTATAATTATGTAGTTTTATACTTATTCAATACCGGTTATCGTACTAGTTAAATGACAAAATCACTAGGAAAGTAAACACCTCACCTGATTCCTATTTGGTGACTCAACTCCCAGACCAGCACTTCCGATGCAATCTCCTCCAATCAAATGCCTCCCAGTATTACCAGGTATTGGCTGGCAGGTAACATAGCCACTGGCCAAGGGCAGAAGGGAACTCGCCTAATAGCTTTTCCAACGCTTTTGTGGCTCCAGCCGGCCGACAAGTTATGACCCGCCATTTCCGTTTGGTTTTCACAACTCACCGCGCCGACTGCCTCGGCCCTTCTCCGCCGCCATCACGAATCTGAGCCAAATCGGTTGGCCCAGCTTCCAGCCGGGCTTCAATTTTATCGCCGCCAATTTACTGCCGTTTTCCACACTGTGGGTGTGCATTTTTCGGTTGTTGTTCCCCCCAAGTTGCGATGGCGAAGAAGCCGCTAGCAACCGCTGTTGCATATTTTTCTTGGCATAAATTCCATTGTGCAGGCTCCGTGATTTACGCTGCGATGATGGGAGTCGGGCCATCGTTGTAATTTCCATCGAAAGTATGCCAATAGGCATAGTGAAATTCTAAAACAAGCAACAGGAAACTATAAACAGCCACAAGAGTCCTTAGAGCTAGTACCATGTATACCTTATTGTTTTGTGTTACAATTGCCATTGTTATTAATAGTGACATGAATAACATGAATCTTGCTCATTATCCTGTTTTGATAGTAGGTATCCTTGTTATAGAGGTTTGCCTAAGCAGAAATATAAACTTTAATATGCTTAACCAAATAATTAAAACTCTACAAACTGTAATGTATTTCAATAGCTGTCACTTGGAATTTTCATAAATTTTCCCTGCAGCGGGAACAACTGAGCTCTCATATGGAACAATCAATGTCCAGTCGCCAAAAAGGATGTAAAATCCTTTCAGAAAAGCCAACTTTTGTCATGTAGCTTTAGGGAATGTGGTCAGGTGGGATGTGAACTTCTTGACTTTCAACGATAACTTCTATTGTCTGTGTCTCTACATGAATTTATGGATTGAAGGACAGTGGTGAAAATAATTATAGTAAAAAATAATATTGTGTAAAATGATGATACTAGTTATTCTTTTTTCATAAAAATAATACCAATTATGTATATTTTTTTGTTTAGTTCAAGACTTTACAAGCCGTTATCTAACCACTTATAGCCCACTGTATCCACAAAGTCAAGTGCAACAAATGCATAAATTAAACTCTGTTGAGAGTTTAGTTTAGCCAACGGTGCATTGGTGTGTGTTTACTTGTAGAGCTCACTGTGAGACGCAGTGTTGGTGTTGGTGTGCAAGCGTGCATATTCACCATTATCGATACTGAAGGACATTATCAGCACATATGCACCACCAGCCGGGGGCAGGCCGGGGAAGTAGCTAGGTAGTGGGTGGAAAAAGGAGGCAAGGCCTGGGTATGCATAAAACATGTTTGGTCGGTTGGCAGCAAATTGAATCAATAATATCCAATCATGGGTTAACAATGCGAATTGATTTCTAGCAGCCATGCAAGCGGGAAGAAGTCTAGGCATCTCCTGTGCAGGTCCTGCAGGGCCCAGGAAGGCGCCTGGCGTACACAGGCGAACACAACTGCCCCCCAAAACACAAGATAAGGACAACAGAACCGAAGCAGCTTTCACCTCGGGAGGGAGGGAGTGCCCATGTAAATATTAATTAAGTTTTGGCTTTTGTTGCATTAGGCTTCGGTTTTTGCAGAAGACCCTGCAGACGATCCCAGATGCAGACATCTATCATTGTATTAGCCGTAGTATTATATGGTTAGTTAGTCGCTCCTTTGTCCTGTCGGCCTGGCCTAATCAACTTGGGAGTGCATGTGTTCTCTAGGTGTTTACCTGGCCATTTAATTAGATCACAAAGAGTCGTGTTTGAATTGACACTAATTTCGTTTGTATTTTGTTTAAGTTTGGCTCCCTCCTGCAATATTTACACTACGACGAGTCCTTGAGTCCTTCAGTCCTTGGCTCCCGACTGTGTATCCCTTGCAGGCCATTAATTTTCATTTGATCTGAGATCCGAATTTCAATTGTTTGACTAAAATCGTAATGGCACCAAAAATTTATCTCAGTTGGGAAATTAAATTTTGTACAATTTGTAAAAGTTTGCCAAATGGTGTCGCCAACTGCCACGAACCGAGCGCAAGCAAACTTTCTGCATTTCCATTACAAGTTTCCTCCACCCACCGCAAACCACTCGCTCACTTTCAGCCCACATCTGCCGCCCACCCACCCACCAGCCATCCGTCGAGTCGGAACAACCTCAATCCCGGCTTACGCGTTTATTTAATTTGGCTAGAATATTACGCATACGCCCGAGTGTTCACTGTGCTCTCATAATTGCCGCGTAATTGCCGGGAAGAATAACTGTCAACTCCAATGGCAATTCGAGTTAAGCTGGCTAAGAGTAAAGTACGTCGCCATGGATTTTTATTTAATGAGAACCATTTGGTAGTTGATTAAATACTATAATTCTGCTTATAATTATACATGCTTTGGGTATCAGTTCTTGATTATACATCTGCACAATTAGTTTAGAAACTAGAGAGTCTAAAGCGGTGATCCTTTTATGAAATTCTTATCTTGTTGTTCCGATAAGCGAGCCGAGACGGGGGTCTTCGCCCGAATGCGGTCAACTCATTTAGGTTGTGAAATTTTTTTACATTAAAAGCGTGTGTCGTGTCCAGTAGGTCCAGTGTAGGTTGTTACCAAACAGAATTTAGACCTGGTAGATACAAATGTTGCCTGGATCAGAGGAAATCGCCATCCGGCACGATCTCTTGCATCTCATAGACCCCGTCGACAAATATCATCACTAGCCCGAGGGTGGGCCGGAGGTTCTCTGCCATGTGGGTGTTGTCCCCGCCGAGAACCACCACGCACGGCTTCCCGCTGGCCAGCGGGGGCAGCATTCGGGTGACATACAGGTTTAGGCGATTTAGGTTCTCGCGCCGGACGTCCAGCGAGGTCAGGCCATCGGGCCAACGGTCCTCGTGACACCGGTCCAACATCAGATTCACCAAGTGCATCGGACAGCCGCAGTTGCGCAGAACATCGCGCACCATTACGTGCATGGTGGTGTCCGGAGTGGAAATAAGACTGCCCCAATTGCGGACATCGCCCAGGGGCAGACCATGGCCCCACTGCATCAGAGAATAGCGATCCAGCTGCTCGCCGATATTGCGCATCAGCGGACTGGTGGACCTCAGGGCAGCAATGTAGTACTGGAGCAGCTCCAGCTCGCATCCCTGGGTTACGAGGCGCAGCTCGTGGTTGGCCTGCTTTTTCTTCAGCTCGGCGATCTCGGTTACTTTGCTCTGGACCAGCTCCCGAAGCTCGAACACGCAGTTGTGTGTGGCCAGCTCGTCCTTGGGCACCTGCATGCCGCACCCCTTGTTGCAGTCGACCATGACCTTGGGATTATGCTCGCAGCCAGCCACATGGCGTCGGAACCCCTCGAGGGCCAGCAGCTGGGAGCAGCCGTTCTCGGCAAAGGTGCACTTGATCTTTAGCCGGGAGAGCATATTGCGCATCAGACGGGATACGGGCACCAAATGGCCGGGAAGCAAGGCAGACCGGTCCACCGGACAGATCTGTTTCTGCTGTATCCACTTGTCGATGCACGCCCGACAGTAGGCATGCTCACAGCCGCTGGACTGCACTGGCTCCTCAAGGACATCCGTACAGATGGGGCAGATCAGCTCCTGGTCCACGTGGCCCACAATGCAGGATACATCGAAGCCCATGATGTATGATTTCGATTGCCAATCCGATTCCGAGACTCTGTTGTCGATGATATCGGGCAGATGAAGACTGCACTCGGTATACTAACCACAGAGTTTTGAATTCCTACTTACCACAGAGCTTGTTTCTAGAGATACTCTCCGAAATACTAGATTTTTATAATTTACTGATCGAAATGTAGATGCGTCAGATCTGGCGACTGTGTCAATGATGATATCTGGTTGAATGCCTACTACTAACTAATTCAGTAGCAAGCAAAATAGAGGTTGCTAGATCATAGATCTTATTCTAGCTCTAAGTAACCCAGTTGAGTGCAATTTTGTAAGAATTTATCCATCATCTGGTATGAAAACACTTTCTGTGTGCCTCCAACAGTTTAGGACACTTCAATTTCAATTCAAGCGCAACAGAAACCAAGTAAGCAACAAACAGAGAACAGAGTCCCATCCATCCACTCCAAAGGAGGTGGAGAGCCTAGCCAGAAAGCATTTTCTTGGAGGCACTTGCATACAGGGACGGTCGTAAAACCCTTTGCATATTTATAGTCCCAACTGCTGCGGAAGTTATGCAAATTGGAAAACTTATGGTACGACAACCCGGAATGGAGAGGCGCCAGCCCCACCGAAGACGCCAACCGCCTACGTTCACGTCCGCCTGGTCAAAACAAATGCCAGAGTTGAATTTTATTTATAAAGTGAAATTTTACAAATTAACAGCAAATGCTGGGACATGGGCAGCAAATAAACTTTCCATCTTTAGCTCGACAATGGCCGAAATTCGTACAAGCACTCGTCAGAGGACACACACACCACGGTTGTGACAACATATTGCCATGTCAAAATATTTACACTATATCAACCACTCTCTACGATAGACTCTAAAGGATAGATGCAAATATTCGCTACCTATATATATGCATAAACATATATATATGTAAACAAATGCCGGCAAAGGGACAGGACATTGTATGACTGGAAATTCGGTTTTAAATTTCATTGGGCTCTGCCATCCGCTTTGGATATTAAATTTCATGTTTTTCCTTCTAGTGGCAGTCGGCCATTGTCTGCCTTTTTCCATTTATATGACAACTGGACTGGCTTTTCTTGGGCTACAATTTAAGATCCTTTGCATCTGCCATAGTTGGAGTGTTTATCGCAAAATGCAACTGTCAGTCGGAGCCAGACTTTGAGTTAGAGTTATTTCCTCTCGAATGAAAATTTTAACAGAGACACTTGGGAATTATTGCTTTCGGTGATGAATCGAATAAATCATAATTGATCAATGGCTGTTTCTTTTCCTTTCTCCGATTTCCCAAAAAATAATTAAAATTCTGCCTGTTTTCGGCCTCTTGAATTCTGAATTTTAATAATATTTCGTGTTTGGGAACTGATGAAGCGCATTAGAAAATAATCAAGCATTTTCATTTGACTGGGTTTCGATAAAAAGCAGTCTAGCAAAGAGACAATCAAGCCACACACTCAAGCCGAGCCACTCAGGCAGGCTAATTTAATAAGTTTATCAGAAAACACACACATATATTCCAAGTCAAACAAATAAATTTAATATTTTTGCCATTGAACGGGTGGCCTTTAATGAAAATCAACACTTCCGGCTTGGTAAGTTCACCCGAATTCCAGTAGATACACAGATGCATAGATAAATATGTATATAAATATTATTTGGCTTAGTATATTGTGGGCACAACTAATAAGAGTTGCAACGTGTAAACAGATATTACGTGAGTGCCTTAGACTTGGAATGTAACGAGCTACAAATTCTTGCCACAAAATGTATGTATATTTGTATTTGAATTTTCTGCTCTTTCCGTTCCTGTCATTACGTGGCAAAGGGAGTACGTGCCACGTTGGCAGCAAATGGTGAGAGTTCTAGTCCTTTATTTTGTCTCCAGTCAGGATTATCTTACAAATTTTTGCCCCTTCCTGTAAACATTTATTTTTGGCATGACTTTTGTATTTATTTTCTACTTTAGTTATAATTACATTCATGTTTTTGTGGATCACCTTCTCGGGCCAAGTTAATGTCTCGTTTCTGTTAATACACTTTGTAGAAACCTGGCAAGAACCTGGGTAATTTCACATTGTGACAACTTGTTTCACTCGCATTAGGATCCATTTCCTAGAGCAACAAGCCAATTGTCATCCAAGCGCCGTACGGCGTACGCATCACCCGCAAAAAGATACAAAAAATTACCATGAATTACAGTAATTCTGGCTGTGCTGCCAACGGAACGCTGCTCTTGGCCCTAAGCCATGCCATTACATGGAAATGGGACATGTCAGCCACTGCCACGAGCAGGACCAAGACCAGGACCAGGACGCGTGTATGTTGGTCCTGCTGGTCCTGATGGCCCGATCTCTTGGCCCGGCTATATGGTCAAGCGGTCACGTTCGCATTGTATGACCGGAACGTGCAATTTTTCCACTCGGCGCGGGACGGCAGGGACCATCGGAATGAGAAACGCAATAAGCACAAGTTTTATGCAATAAAATTAGCCCGCTCACACACGCACCAACACAGGCGCCAGCGCACACAGGAGCCAGGACACGCAGGATGCTTCAGTGGCTGATAAGATAATTTTATTTGGATGTTATTGCATAAAGTCATGTGAGCAGTGGAAATGAGTTAACCTAAAGTAAAGCGGCTACGTGCCTCCGGCTCGGGCCGGCCATGGCAGGGGGCATTTCCATTTCAAGGGGGCTCTGCCGATAGTTGGGGGTAAATGGATTTTAATAAGATAATTGACAGTCTGAAATATTGATGAATTAAGCTTACTGGTAGGTCAGATTATATTAATTGTGTTTAATTTTTGAATATACTTATTTTTTCCACTCTTTAAAGATCTTAAAAAATAGTACAATTTGATTTACAAACTTAACGTTTTAGCTTAATAAACAAGGACATCAGACGTTCCTCTTGACCCTGCATTTATGTTTATGGTGGTACCCTCTCCCAACATGCCATCACCACCATCATCATCATGGTAAGCAAGGGAATGTAACGCACAAATTAGGCAAAAAAGCCAAATTCAACTTGGACTTGGTTCTGGATTCATTGTTCGCTCAGGCGCCACTAAATCGCTGGTACAAGCATGCCTTTTTGTGGCATTCCAGAAACTTTTCCAGATTCCGAAACCGACTAAACTGTGAACTAATATCTACATCTTTACATCTAAATTACTTACCATTAGAAATTCAAAATGCAGATCTGATATAAGTTCTTCAAGAATCGAAAATCCATTTTTATCAACTTAAAAAGAGAGCATTAAATCTTCGTTCATCGCTTATGAATATATCGTTTCAAAAATGTTTGCCGTGAACGTTTTGCTGGAATTTAACAACTGACCGCACACACAAAAATATTGTTGCCACACCCGAGGCGACAACAAACCCAGAACGATGAAAACGAGCGAGGAAAGGCCTCAAGTGCCGCAAGAGCACTTAATACTAATTAGCTTTGCGCCTACGCCGTGACCTACGACCTGCCCGGACCGGAGCGGAGCAGAGCGGCATTTCCGGATACCAAGAGCCAAGTCCGTGGAGGAGTCACGGCACAAGGGTAGGGAAGAGGCCTGGGCAGGGGTGTCATTGGCAATCTGTGCCGCGCTTAAGTGGCCGCAACACGCAGAAACACGGAAAATGGTGGCCGGGGTGGGTTAACAGCTTTGGGGCGTCATTTTTATGAGCTAATTAAGTTGTTAGACTTGATGAAAAACTCATTTCGTCGCAGGTCCATATCTAATTTGCATTAATTACGAGCCGGCGACAACAACACAATAAATAACAAAAACATTAATATTAGAGAAATGAGTTGGTTTATTTCTGGCAAAAATATCAAATGACTTTAAGCCAAAGTTAGCCTTTACTGGCCCCTATCTTGGCAATCACACAGCCAATAATTGGCAGGCAATTTGCATTTATTGGCAGCTGCAGAAATATGTAATAAGCCTGCCAACGACCAACTTTCTGTCCGGAATCTGGCACTAGAGTTTCGAGCAACACTTACAACACTTGGTATATAGGTTTCACAGAGTGTCGTTTGTCTTGGCCTGCCAATTTCAAATTTGCACATAGTTTATAATTTGCTTAGGAACTTGTCAGGATCCTGCAATTGAAATTGCAGAACGCAACTTTTTAATGGCCAAAGACTCAGAAGCTTGCAGGAGGCGCTTTATAGTTGGCCTTTTTGGAAAACTTTTCGAATTATAGACGAATGGCTAAGCTCTTTTTATGGGTGTTTCTCTGGAATGTCGAGGACATTAATTTCGGGCAATTCAAGGTCAGCAGGAATTTAATAGAAAAAGTTTTTCAAAATGAAAAGATTAATCCAGAAAATATTTTAAAGATTATCTTTAGCTTTCTTAGATTTTCAAAGGCAGAATAGGATAAAACAAAGTACTTTACTTTAAATATGAAAAGAGAATTTTTTTTAAAAATATAGCTAAAAATAAACAACCCAAAGCCCCTATTTACAACTTTAATCTTTATCCTTGTCTAAAATCACAGCTCTTCTTTTTTTAAGAGACCAAGTCAATCGTCTAAATCTCTTTAATGGACTTCTAAACCCCACAATCAAAATACACCCATTCGAAAACGCAACTTAATTTTCCAAAGCTCGAATAACAGGGAATACCGGGGGAAAAGAAGAAAAACCTCCAATCTGACAGAATTAAGTGCCCCCTGGGGTCCACTCACCGAAAAGCCCGGCAACTGTTGGACATTTTGATGTATAGCCGTCAAAATTGCTCGCCCAGCAAGTCATCACAATAAATGCCAATTTATTTTCGCTTTTTTTTGTTTGCTGCAAAAAGGCAATTCCAACCGACAGCCAACAAACAACCAGCGACGAGTCTGAAGAGTTTCGGCAGGCAAATCGAACAATGATTAATCATTGGTCGAAGGACATAATTATTTTGGCACCAAAGTTGGTAGCTGAACTGGTAGGTGGCGGCTAATAAAATCGTTGACAGAAAAGAAACTCTGCT